ATAAGTTAAAAGGATGATTAATTTTCTTCTTTAAGTTTTAATTTAATAGTAAACATTTTAATATTAAGTAGTTTTTCTTACTTTATTTGTAACCTTAACTGATGAAACACGTTTTGAATATCAATTTTAATTTTCGAGTTTCGGGATTCGATTTTTGGGCTAACTGGTGGTTAATATCAATATGTACAGTACATACAAACATTTGGGTTTCCTTGCAGTAGCCAACACAACAGTCGAATACTTTTTACCGGATGCCTATAACTACATTTTACAACAGGTATTTCGATGACCTTTCTCAGTACAAACCATAAATAGCTCATGGTTTGTGTCTGAAGAAACAAAAAGGCATATTGTGTTATTGTACAACAGAAACGAAATACATTATTTTTCCTCGTTGGTATGATAAATCGTTTAAGAAATGTTCACCCAATCATCATTTAAATAAGATACTCAGTTTATTATACATACATATTATCCAACAGTTGCCCTCAAACCCAATTCCCGTATATCAAAATTAAACAGTGAATCCTGTTTACTCCGTTGAGATTAAAAATAAATTAAGATAGGCTACTTAATAAATATGTTTGCTACAGTATTCAAATTAAAACTGAAAGAAGAAAATCAATCACTTTCAATAATTTATATATCTGGCCAGGTGAAATTCCGGGGGGTAAAAATCCGGGGGTAAACAGCTGGGGGTAATTTGCTATTTTTCAGCTGTCCTCACTAAAAATTTGTGCGCCCACAGAAAACTGTTTAGGCTCGGCATGATTAAAATAAAAACCTGTCAAATGAGTAGTTGGGATGACTGAGCTGGTGCTACTAGTGAAGGCTCTCACATTGTGTTTCCAAGGTCAATATTAGTTACGGTATTGAGGTATTGAGCTGATGTGTTACTGTTGGGAGACAATTCATTATAGGAACCACTCAAAAGATCCTTTCATACCATGATTATGTCGTCTGTACCTTGAGTCATGTGAAAGTAACTTGGCGGTGTTGGTAACATAATTTACATTTTCTGAAGAACATATTTAGTGTTACTTTTCAAGCTCACATGTGATGTATCTTGGTACATTTTTTGAACATCAGTCAAACATGTGAGGACATGGAGAAAATGGTCTGTTTTTAGGATTTTTGTGATGATAGGATAACCTTATTCAAAAATTTATTTTATAGTCCTGTACACATCCACAGATACAGACAAACACACCCACCGATATCACTTCAAAACCCTTTTTATGGGTTAAGGGGGACCTAAAAAATGTTGACGAAGACAATACTTTCTCCACATACTATCTATAGAGGGATAAAAAAATGCTCATACACTTTGTATCACTGATAAGGGTTTCCTACCTTGGCAATGGCATTTGTGTAACTAGTGGTGAAAGTGGCACTTTGCTGCACACGAGAGCAAAGAGGCTCGTGCGGAATGATCTCGAGTGCAGCAAAGGCCTTTTTCACTCGTGTTACACATTATATTTTTCCTACAGTCACTATAAAGCATATAAATAGTTAGTCTTTCAAACACTATACAACACGTTTTTAGGTTCAGCTGGCAACACAAATGGTGCCCTAGAGAAAGTGGTACCCGCGGTCCGTATCACTCCACTATTTTTCCTCGGCAAGAAATGTGCTCCGCGTTTTGAGAATATAGTTCCGTATGTTTTTGTAATTTGAAGTGGTTTCCGCACCTACAAAAAATGCTTTAAAGGTATTTTCTTGTTTATTAAGATCGAAGGAATGTTTTAAAAACGTTTGAAAGAAAAGTCCAGAAAGTTCAGAAATACCGAAACTATAAACACGAAATGACAGGTTAAATCGTAGTTATAATAGTCAATCAGCTGCTTATAGTATTAGTGTTGCCAACCTATTTCCAAGCGTACACGGATTACGTGCATAATAGAACCACGCTGTTTTGTGTTGTTTCGTTGGAATCCTGATGTGCGGCAAAGTATAAACCGTACGACAAAGTATAAACCGTACGACAAAGTATAAACCGTACGACAAAGTATAAACCGTACGACAAAGTATAAACCGTACGGCAAAGTATAAATATGCAGCAATTAGCAGCTTTCTGTACTATAAACAGTACAAGGAAGCCAACTTTGTCGGGTGACTGTAGGAAAAGTGATTTGCGTTGATTTTTAATTACCACATCTGACACTTAAGGGAGTGGCCACAGAGAAGTACAGAGGGAAAAAGCTTTTAGGACGACTGTGCACTTTCAGCTCAGGTATGTTGAGCCAGAAATATACTTAATTGTGTCAAGCAATGAAGAGCCCTAGCGGCGAGCAATGTGTGGAAATTTCCATCGCACAGATCAAAGGGTTTTCTTCTGCCCTGAGCGTTTGTAGTACACAAGGGCGAGGTACGATGTTGAACTTTGCCCTAGACACCAGCACTAGTACTAACTAGACACCACTTAAGTGAACCATTGAATGTTTCCTCTGTAAATTAATTCTCTGTGGCAAGAGAAGAGATTCACCACAAGTTTTAGAACTCTTATTATTCTCTATGTCCCATGATCCCCTAAGTTAAAGCAAAGCACTTGGGGATTGACGTATAGAACACATGAGTCTGTAGCAGGACAGACTACTCGATGTCATAAGTTTATGTCCTAGTATCAGGACCAGCTCACCCCTTGCTTTGTTTGAAATTTCAGGCCTGAAGACAAATCATATTTAACATAATATTTGGGGGATGGCCAACTCCGTGCGGTAGTCAGATATAAGATCAGGAAAAGTTTTATGGCCCTCGAAGGGTCCAGTCCACCTCCGCGCGGTGGTCAATTTTAGTGTCTAGTCCAACTCCAGGCGTTGGCCCCATCTAATCTCTACGCTACCCATCAATCTTTCACTTGTACTTGTTGTGCTCTCGGATGAGATATGAAGTAGTGATGTGTCAAAACCAAATCTCAAAACCATCAAAACTTAGGAAAAGTTTCGGTTTCGAGATTCGATCACCAAGTTTCGAGATTCAGAAGTTTCGAACTTGAAGATTTTGGCAGTTTAATTTTGGAACTGCTGACATTTTTTTGTGCCATTGTTATTGTTTTTAACACTGTTTCCAAACAAGCTGGTAGCAACAGAGCAAACATCACCAATAACAGTAATGTAACAGGTAAATTTTATTCTGAACTTAAAAAGGTATCTTAAATACTATAACTGGTATAATTCAGTTTCACATGATATTTACTAAACTCAAAGAAATATTGACCACTAAATGTTGTAATTAATCTAATATTCATGTTTATGTTGGTGTTAGAAGTTTAATTAATTTTTTATGTTGGTTGATTATAAAAAATTGTTGTATTGGGTTTTTAAGATCAGTCACATTCACATACTGTATTTATGTTATGTCACGGTCAGGAGGAGTCGATCTCTTTCAGTTTTGATTGCATACTTAACATTTTATGATTATGTCTATTTTATGTAACCTTGACCTTTGTAACCAGCTGAGTAAAAAAGTTTTGCGTTTAGGTTTTGAGATTCGGATTCAAATTTTTAAAGTTTCGGTTTCGGTTTTGCGATTCAAAATTTCTGGTTTTGACCATCACTAATATGAAGTGTTTAATATAAAATATTCTATATACACTGTGTGCCCCAAAAGTAATTTAACGCTTTTATTTGTTCATAGCTACTTTATTCATGTGACAGGTTAGGTTTAGTTAGGTTAATGATAGGTAAATTCAAATGAAACATAAGTATTCTCTTTTGTACTGAATAACTTTATTTTGTTAGTTACTGGGGTTTCGTACAGTTATAAATAATATACATTTATAACCAATTCAAACTTCAAATACCCTCTCAGCCGTCAGGGCTGTGAGAGCCAAAATTGACCACCGAGCGGAGTTGGACGTGTGCCGCGAGGGATCCGAAGTGACCACTGCAGGGAGTTGGACACTGGAAAGTCGGTTTTGACAGATTTCTAACCACCGTGCGGAGTTTGGATAAGCCCAATATTTGTACTCTGTTATTGACAACAGAATACAGACCACTAATAAGACCTTTTCTGAAATAAAAAAAACATTCAAATAATCTAATTTTACTTTTTAGTTTTTAACATATCTTTTTTACCAATTTAGTTTTCATTTTAAATGTTTAACAATCACTCTATACTTTGCTCAAGGACCATGGGTTTAAATGTTTAAAGATACACTTCTGAGAATATAGACAGACCGGCTGTATGCATTTTGTGCATGTTTAGATTGTCAGTAATACACCTTTTGAACAATTTGAACTAGAGAAAACAAACATAAAATATTGAGTAATCGTTGGGCGCAGCTTGTCAAGAGTAAGGGGATTCTAGACTGGGGGCTTAGGTTCAAGTCTTGCCAATTACCAATTACTTTTAGCTAAATTCCACGTGAGAGGTTGGAGTGCAACTTATGTTTTAGGCCCCTCTAATGACAATAACTTCATATTGGAAGACTTCCTAAAAAAACCTAAGAAATCGTGATTGGTTTAACTGATCAATGTATCTATCTCAAACTGTAAAAAAAACTTGTAGGCTATAAGAAAGACATATCAAGCTTTAGCTTTACTGTATGTGCATTGACTTTTGCTGTTACAGTACAAATGGTTACAAATCAAACAAAATAGAGACAAGGAGAAACAATTAATCATTTGCAATCACTATCGTGCCCAATAGTCTCCCAATAACTACTCATTAATGTACATTATTGCCAGTCAACAAGATTATTGTCATAATATACTTTTAGAGAGCGATATTCTCTTTTACTACATAGTTGCCTAAAAATAATCATGTTTTCTGCCCATTGATGTGTTTTTTGAAATAGTATTTTATCTTACACAACTTAGTCAGCAGAATAGTGTTATGTCAAGGAATTAAGGATTCCCCAGTAAATCAAACAAAACAAAGACATGTTCAAAAATCCTAAGAATAAGCAAAAGGAATTTTACAATTAAAATATATCTTGTCTTCTAAATACATTCCTTTGCTTTTGGCTATTTGGACAGGAGAAGGAAAAACAATAATGATTCGTTGGTGGAAACATTAATATATTATGAAAATAAACAAAGAAAATGTAATTTAACAAACATAATGTTTTTTACTCTTTACCCTTTGGCATGTTGAATCTAAATACTCGTTGTAATACTGGAAAGTATGATTTGAAATTAATCTCGAGAATAAGACACTTTAAGTCATTTTTTTAGTTTGGTTTATTGTATATAAATTTGTGAAATAAACATGGAAACTATCAAATGTTTGAACAACATAAACGTTTATGCAAAGACAAAAAAAAAAACACGCCACATAAATATTGAAAAAATAATTATGAACACAATAAAATTATATTTTCTAGGTTACAACGAACAATTTGTCAACAAAAATAAAATAATGAAAATACAAACTTAGTTAAATGAGTAAGTGAGTATGCATAACAAAGTATAAATAATAGACTAAAGAACAAAAAACACAACAAATGTATGAAATCCGGATTTCCATTACTTTTTAAAGTAAATAAAACATAAACAGTTGTATAAAATATAAAGAAAATGGCACAAAACCCTATACTTTTACCCTGCCTTAATAATACTACTACGTAGATACTGAAGACTAGGAATACCAAAGAGGAAAAAAAATGATTTTCAACTGGTGCTCATATTGAAAATGCGTCTGACAACATGATTTTTATCTTTAAATGCTAACAATAAATCCAAATAAACATTTAAATAAGCATATTTTAAAACACAGGTATGAAAAACTAACATGATTATAGATAAAATTTGTGTTTGATTAATAACAATACATTTTATATTTACTAACATTATTTCATTAATTACTCTTGATTACATTTAAAGTTTTGTTTCTTTTCTTGATACTGAGGATCACGATACTGATTTGATCAGGTCTCTTCTACAAAGAGCATCAACCCGTACTAATTGCAAATTTTAGTCCTCTGTTTGAAAACATGACAACAGTAACAATTGTGGTTAGGCCTACTGTCTACAGGTGGAAACAATAAAAAAGTATGAAAGTGATCTTTTGTACTGAAATGTGCGTTAACATCTGATAAAAAACATTAGGAACAAACTCAAGTTGTTTAAAAAAACTAATTGTCGATACAAAATTTGAATACCAGTTACTTTATACATGTCACTTTGAGTTAAAATCCACATTGATTCACTACCTGAACAAATCGAGGACTTAGGAAATTCACCGAATCGCAACTAAAAACTTATAATTTCAATTCTACGGTGTCCGATCACGCAACACGGTTGGAATAACTAGTCAACTGTAATAGACGAGATAAATAATAAATAACCTACAACGCTTAACAAGATAATACAGGCAACAATAAATATAACTTACTAACCGAACGATCCGACCGCAGCCGGGAAATACGTAAAGCCGAATGTCTACTAACGGAATCACAGAGCCTTTACAGATCCATAACATAGCGATGTCCTACCTAACATAAATACACCTTAAGCTACGATTGATAGTTATACACTTACAGTGATGCGGGAACGCTGAAACAACCACGTTCCGCGTTTATTTTACATTTACAACTTTATTCACAACAAAACTTATATATTAAAATTGTAGAAATTTACATTACAAAACCATAAAACTCACTTACGCCTACACTGAGTACACGATGTGGGAATTTACAGGCTACGAATAAATAAATATTACGCTATATAAAAAAATCAAAATTGGTCTTAACGTAACGTAACGTCCATTGTGAGGTTAGTTGCCGTTGGTGGTGCGGGGAGCGATCACTGGGGCCACTTTGTCTCGTTCTGTGCCGTATATCTTCCCCGCTTTCTTGGCCATGCTACCGAGCAGCTCAAGCGAACACTTGTGAGCAGACCGGAGGGACAGAGACCACTCCTTCAGTCCGATCTCGTCCTGAATACAAACAACACATCAGGCTTGTTGATACTACACAAGATGATATAATGCAATACTGTTAAAGATGGCGTACAGATTAATACCACTCAAATTGAACAAATTTTCTGGTTTTTAGAAGGCACTATGACTATATTTTCAACTATCTAAAAGGGCTAATTACCTGACATTATGAACATCACTAAGTCTGAAGAAGACAACAATACTGTCTTTTTTTACCTAATAGGTAGTGCTAAGCACTGTGAAAAGGGGTACCTATTCCTGATTGATTCTGATAATGCTTCAGTAACATCCTGATTGATTCTGATAAAGCTTCAGTAACAGCCAGAAGCAAGCAGGATACATGGTGTTTGCTTTTTCCCAAAGATAAAGTCGAATTCTAAACCTACTTTTCCTATTCCTATATTCGCTTTTCTGGTATCTGGTAGTTGTACAAATCGACCGAGGAATAACACAGACAGGCAATACCTATACTACACACACACAGGATATGTTCTGAAGCCAACTTTCAGGATACAAGTCTCCGCCAGCTCCTACCTTAAAATGTTATCCTACTAATATTATAAATGAGAAAGTTTGGATGTATGGATGTATGGATGTATGTTTGTGACAAGTGAACGCGCAAAATACTGGTCGGATTGGGCTGAAATTTGGCATGATGATAGCTCACATTCCCGATTAACATATAGGCATATTCTTATTTCAAAAATCCTTTCGGGCTCCGCCCCAGTGGCTCTGGGGTTTCCCATGTTAACCTTATGAGAAATTGAATTATTGAATCTTAACAGCTGTTTCAATTAAACAAGTTGGTTCTGTACTATGATGTTCAATAGCATTAAAGTTACAAGGATTACCAACAGGGTGCAGCACTATTATTTCTTTTACATTTATGACAACAGCTAATTTGCAACCAAAAGGTGAGTGAGCGTAGCGAACGAACTTCAACCTGGAGGCGAGTTAGCGTAGTGAACGAGCTAACCTGAAGGCAAGTGAGCGCAGCGAACGAGCTCCAACATAAAGGTGAGTGAGCGCAGCGAACAAACTTCAACCAGGACGTGATTAAGCCATGCGAACGAGATAATCTTGAAAATTAAGAAGTTAAACGGGGCAAAGCCCGCGGGTTACAGCTAGTTAAAACATACAACAAAAAGTGTGTTTAAAGTTGAGATAAAATTCTGAAATTTTGGCACTTGCTTGTCTACATAGTGACAGTATGCATTACATTATTGTTCAAATATTTGTTAACTACTAGATAAAAAAGTATGAAAACACAAGAAAACTAATTTTTTGTGAAATAACCATACCAAAAAAGTTAGCCTTTGAGAACATTTATTGTCCAGCAGATTGTTATCAGTGAGAACATTTTAAGACAAAAATCAAATGTCAATTTTGGAAATTCTTGGGACGGCAGTTACGAGTTTATCAAAAGTTAGTCGGTGGCTCAGTTGGTTGCGTCACAGACTTCGGGTACGAGGCAGTGATGTCCTAGATTCGGATCTTGGTCACTGCTGCAAACATTTTATTAGTACAGTTCACCTTTGTACTGTACCGGCTCACCTCTTGCTTTGCTGGATAGGTTCCACGCAAAGATCTGCAGTCTATGTGGGTGGGCAAATGCAAGGTTAATAGAGGAAGCCAACATCTAAAAAAAAGGCGCTTCTAACTTTCTTCTAGTAGAGTTTTTTGCAATGTAGTTTAGGAAAATGGTGTAACCTCCGGCAAAAAAATACTACATAATGCTGTTTAAAGTCAAAGACAATTATTTTGATCAGGGTATTAGATTGAAAAGTGAACATGTCTGAAACTCGTCAGTAGAAAGAGTCACTGCTGCTCTCTTCACCACTGTGCAGTTGTGCCCTGCAGCAACTGGTGCAGTACAAACTGTACAAACTGCATAATTGTTCCATAAAACTAGTAAAACAACAGGTTCTTATATAGGCCTACAATATAAAAAACTAATCTTCCACCAAAGGAAACCCTAGATTTCCGTTTTTCATCCACTACCATCCCAGCTATGCATACTCACTGGATTGGTGAGCACAATCTTGGCGTCTCTTGTCTTGAGCACGATGCACTGCTCGTTCTTCACTGTCACCAGGTCGGGAGACACTTCCTCCAGCTGGTCCATGAACACCAACTCGGGTTTGGTGCTGCCCGACTCGGGATGAAGCTCTAGTCTGTTCGGGTATAGCTTGGCGTATCTTGTCTGCCACGCTGATGCAAACGGCCCACCCAGCTTCTTGATGTACCCGTGGAGTATGCAGTCTGATTCTGCAGAACATACATCACATTTAGAATCTATAGTCCGCAGATATAATTATGATGATTACTTGTTTTGAATATTTAATAATTACTATTATGAAATGAAATGTGCTTTACTGTACAATTTAGAATATAAAAGACAGTTGACCGCAATTGCAGCATCAGTTCACTATAGTGACTTGTCAAAACTCAATCTCAAATTAGAAAACAACAAAAAGTAGGACAATTTCTATTTCAAGATTTGATTGGCTAGTATCAAGATTCAAAACTTCAAAAAGCAGTATTATCTAATTAAATGTTTTTAGTTTTTTAAAGCCATGTGAAGATATGTTTAATGTAAGGTTTGAATAGAAAGGGCTTATTGCCTGACAATTAAGGAAACAAAGGATAGGATAAGCAGGCTTACCTTTAGAAATGTAGGCATCCCACTTCACTACAGTAACACAGAAGCTTCCTTTACCAGTGAAAGACTTCTAATGTGACTCTTAATGTTGAGAAAGGGGCCAGTGGCCTCAAAATATCCAGTGTGTTTTCTTCTGTGTTACTGTAGTGAAGTAGGATGCCTACATTTCTAAAGGTAAGCCTGCTTATCCTATTCTTTGTCTCCCCATTTTTAAAGTAACTAAGTATAAATTTAATTAATATTTTTGCTGTCAGTGTCAGAAGTAAAATTTATCTTAGAATGCTTTTAATAATTATGTTATTATTAGACCAACTTGTAATTTTTATCCTTAACCAGGCTAGTAAAGACATTTTCCATTTAGGTTTCAAAATTTGAGATTTGGAATTTCAGGTTTTGGCCATAATTTGTTCATGATATGATTGTGACTAGAGGAGGTGTTTGTGATCTCTTCAGGAGACTTCCGCGATTTGGCTGTGACCATGAGAGACGTCCATGTTTCACTATGCTCACAGGATATAATGTACAATATTTTATAAACCAATTGCACATATGAATTTGTAGTTTGAAAAACATGTAGGCCTACTATTAGTCTGACTTGAAGGTCAATATTTTTTACCCAAAATAAAAAGGTCTGGCCCGCAAACCCCTACAAAACCATCAACCACAAAGTAGCTAGCTAAAACAATCACCTTTCTCATCGCAGTCGAATCGCTGCTTCTGCTTGGCCTTGCGTTTTTGCTCCATTTTGTCCGCTTCTTGATTGATTGTCTCAAAAACAGTTTCCGCAACCTCGTTTTGCCATCTCTCAGAGATCACCAGAGGGAAGTTCTTGTACAAATCTTGATCTGCATCAGTCAGCTGTACAGTGAGAAAACAAGAAATTGAAAAATGAACTAGTCGTTTTTAAACTTTAGAAATGAAATTTACAGATTCTTTGGGTTCTGATTTTTTGGAAAAAAAGACCATAAAGGATTAATCAAAAGACAGTGATTATAATTAGCAAGTAATTTTATAAAAATATTTGAGGAGCCTTTCTGACAGGCAGAAATCCATAAAGGTAGATTGCACATTGGAAATTAGAGGTGAAAGTACAGTTTACATTAGTACATAAACCTTATGCCTACAGTTAAATGAACTAGGTTGTTCTTGCTGCTTTCGGAAAATGTTACTGTAATATGAAATTTATCTTCCTGGAATTTATGAACAAAATCTAGTAATTTGAAGTATCTTTGAAACATCAATGTGCACAAGCTTCCAGCTTACAGTACAAACTGAGAGTGTGCTCTTTTGACGCCTCGCATTTTGCCATTTTGCGTGATTTAAACATCACATAGTTTTCAATCACGGTAACATTTGGAAGCAAAGTTGCATCATGGTGGTGGCCTAATCCTTGTTTTTTATAAGTGTTACAAACCTTGATTCCTTTAGTATCCTCCTCGTCAAAGGAGCCAATGTCGAAGGCGTCGGCTGCGTTGACCTCACCTCGGGGAGGTATCAGGGGTGGTGTGTACTTTTGTATGTACACTTGTTGCCAATCCAGCCCTGCAAAGAACGGATGGTCCTTCACCTCGTCAGCTCTGGAACACATGGAAGTGATAACTTTAACCTATTGGCCTATCATTCTCACAATGTATATTGACCCCAAAAACTCTACATCATCCGAATTGTAAAGTCTGGAGCAATAAATTATTAAAGATAAAGACAAAATAAATACAATTAATTGTCAGGTAATGCCAAGAGTAGTGTCTGCTAAAATAATCAAAATGACAATATTGCAATTTTGGATTTCCCCATTTGCATCAAAGCTTTTATTCCCTTTTCGACAATAACTTATCATTTCACGTTATAATATTTTACAAAAATAATAACAATTTACTCAAAAATATCACCTCAGATGGAGATTTTGATAAAATTCAGCTTTAAAAGTATATAGAATACATGAGATAAGTTCTATAATTCATCTGTGGTGGATAGGGTTTTGTTTTACACACTATGGAAGAACTATTTCAGTATTCATATTTTTTGTTCCAAAGGTAGTAAATTAATAATAAAAAATCAAATTTTGCCAACCATTAAGTAATTAAATTAATAACCACTATACAGGTGTGACAGAAAAATTAAAACCCTTACATATTTGTGAAAAAGGCTAAACAATGACAGCATTGGAACAATCCAAATTTATAGTCAGCAAAACCGATACAAACGTCCTGTTATGTGACATAAATTGGTCCGGAAACACCACAACAAGAAATGAAGAACCAAGTTTATTTTGGATGGTAATACATATTGATAGTCCAATGACCAATGGCATTTGGGCCCAGAATCAGCTCAGAATGAGGTGGAACCAGCAAATACAATAACCTCTTGGCCAAGCAGTACATTTACTATTGACAGGCTGTTTAGGGTTAAGTACAATAAAATGTTACCCATTGCCACGACAGCCGAGCCGTTTGTCGATATCTCTCTGCAGTAGACCTTCCAAGAGCGCTCTCAGCTCCCTGGAGAAAGAGTCTGGCAGTTCCACATTCTAAACATCAAACAGAACGTATTTATCTGACTTCCAACATAATTTCACTTATTTTATAAAAAAGTATTCTAACTATTCTCTTTGACTTGTGCATAGATCTAAAAATAGCTTTATGATCAAATGGCAATGAAAGCACGATTTAGGTTAGAAAAATTGTCAACTAATCTTAAATAATTGTTTTACGGGTCTATGATACTAAAGTCGGAACAAACCGTTTCCAACCAAATATCATGAGAGAACGTTCTTACGTATGAAAACATCAATGGGATGTATAAGTTTGAACTGTTTCAACAAAGATTACTATTAAAACGAGGACAACTACTCCTACCATGGTAAGTGTCATGCGATCTATCTCGTGCTTATCCTTGGTCTTGTGTTGTCGGAACGGACTGTGACCTTTGAGCAGCTTGTAGAGCATGCAGCCAAGGGAGAACCAGTCAGCGCTGGAGTCGTACGCCGTGCCTTTACTTAGCACTTCCGGCGCCATGTAGCCGTGTGTGCCACTGTAACAGGTCACAACAGATATTGGAGACCAAACTTTTCTATCACTCAACCATAGAAATAAGATACCGAGAAACGTTTCCATTCTCAAGGAGTTTAATGGTGTCATATTTTTACTGAATAAAACCAGTACACAACAAAGAGGGAGTCTGACCAAAGGGAAACTAGAGGAAAAAAGGTGATGGAAGGTTAGGTGCGTTATAATTATGTCTAGAACTTTGATGTTGAATTTCTCTTATCAGGCAGATTTATAAGTCAGTAGTTACAGTACCATATTTTAGAGATTAATTCTTTAGTGTTGAAACTAAGATTATTCAGCATTCTGAAAGCCCTTTTTGAGTTACCTAGACAAAATTGAAAGTCATCATCAATAAACAAGACATGACAATCAATAGGCCAATCTAAAACTAGTATTATTCTTTTAGAGAGCTTGAAATAGGGGGGGGGGGGGAATTAATCTTGTTTTAAATAGGACCAAACAATATTTGATTAGGTTAAAAGTTTGAAATTGCATAGATGATATTACCAACAAACTTACTGTATTATTTTTTTGTGCTCAATTACCTGTAAGTATTGTTCTATACTGTATATCTGTTTGTAATGGTCTAAATACAGACCATTGAGCGAATACATGCTAGCAAGCCAATGAGAAACCTCACTACATATTATAAGCTTATTACTATTGATCAGTCGACTTACACGCTGGCGTGAGGTTTCTTCTTGGAGAAGTCACAAGCAAGTCCCAGATCTGAGATACGAACATGTCCGTGCTCATCTAGCAAGATATTGGCAGGCTTGAGGTCCCGATACACAATATACCTTCTGTGCATATGCTCCAGCCCTGGTAAAACAAGAAAATTGTAAACGAAAGTAACTTATATTGTGTTGGTAAACTTATTACGAATAGATATAAGTTTAGTAAGAATCATACTGAGGGATTTTTTTTTGTCGAGACGCTAGGCACGAGCCTGGGATTGTTTTTACATTACTTCAGGATAGACTTAGGGGTTTGCGGCATTATCACTTAGATAAAATCCATTAGTGATTTGGCGGGATTTGAACCCAGGACCTCAGGGACTGAAGTCCCGCGCTCTAACCACTAGACCAGCTCCCTCCCCACATACTTAGGGATTAGACAAAATGATTGAGGGCTACTATTTTTTTTTTTTTTACTATAAAGACTAGCACTGAATGAATTTAACATTTTAGGAAAGAATGTACTGCTAAAAAAAAAGAACCACCCATTTCATTAATGATATTTTTGACGAAATAACAAAAACTCTTATTACTCATTCTGATACTTCTGAGTGAGTGAAAGTGCAGCGGATGGTTAGATATTCCAAGAAGCTGGGCATCTTAAGGGCAAATTAGAGTGGGTACACCAAACAGGCAACACATATTTATTATTTAGCATTATGATCTTCGGCATCCAGAACACAACATACAAACAATGGAAACGTAGTAATTGGTTTTCACACACTAAATTCAGCCTGAATGGCTTACGCACACTAAATTCAGCCTGAATGGACTGTTACAATTTGGAAGTTAAGACACTATAATATGAAGTTTTCAGCAAAACAAACATTTATATACTTTCATATTTCATACTAAAGTGGTCTCAAAAATATTTTTTACAAGATACCCTAGCTTTATACTTAGTTTAATGATGACCACCTACCCAAGATAACTTCCGCTGCGTAAAACTTCATTTCATGTTCGTTGAACACCCCGTGTTGGGAGAGATGGTAATGTAAATCGCCTCCGTTCATCAGATCAAGGATGAAACAGAGTTTGTCTGGTGTGTGGAACGCATATGTCATACATACAATGAACGGACAATCCACCTGCAGACAAATGCATGTTATTAATAACATTAGCAGTCTATTTATTAGCAAACAAACAAACATTGAAGAGAAAACGATCCACCTAGAAAAGATTCATATGTCAAAATCAAATGACCTGCAATACAAAATTGCATGTCATACATACATTTAAAAAACCAGCAGATAGAAACAAAAGTCACAATTTCTTCGTTAAGTTCACAGTACAGTAAAAATAAATTTTCATATTTTCCCCTTGAAACCATTTTTATTTGTTAAGTTTCATTGTGTAAAGAATAGTCCTTTAAGCTAGATAAAATATCATAAAGTCTACACATTTACAATTAAACTTTGTAAGCTGTTTTCTTTATTCATACAAACAATAAACAGACTTTCCCCTGGCAACCAAACACTCAAGTGATAAATAAGATGAACGTTGAGTCCAACAGATAAAAAAAAACCCATTTGTCATTTTACAAACAATCCCCCTGGAAACAAAAGTATCGGCCATAAATAAGATGAACAGACGGTCCATCAGCAAACATAACTCATTCAAACCAACTGAAAGCAAATGCATATGAATAATACGTGTGAACCGTCCAGCAGAGTTTCACTAACAAGATGGGCAAAACCGGAACAAATAAATATCATATTTAAGATAAGTAGGTATTTTGCCTGTCCACAACAAAATTGTTTCCTTAAATTTCCTATAACATTAAAACATACACATATTTAATTTTGTATTAAATTCATTGTGGTTTATTTTTATTAAAATGCAGTATACTGCTATGAAATTAGTCGGAGATCATCAACTTGGGTCACATATTGATAGATACACCTCAAGCTGATAGAATACTATTTTTTTAATCCTTAGTATTTTTTCTGTTTTTGAAACATCTCCATTAGTTCATTATTTGTTTTTTCATTGTCATTTGAGCTGAAAAAGGCTGACAAAAAGGCAACTGAGTGAAAAAAAGAAACGTCCAGAGTTATTTAAATCCTAATTCATTGTTCAAACTCCGAGACACGACAGATCAATTACGTCGGTTCATGTACGACATACGTGTGTGCGCAGCTAAGTCGGTGTTTACCTTGATAACCGGGCGCCGTTCTATTCTAGGCGCACAATGATGCAACTAAACATACAGTTTATTTCCGGAATCTTGCATTCGTTGAGTGGCTACAGCAAAACAATAACTGAAAGAAACATCTGTCTCGGCCATTCACTCGACAATGGCAGCTCGGCTTTTCAACATCTGTTGTCTTTGAGGTGGTCATTACTGGGCCACCATTATATGACTTCTCTCCCCACAAGTCTGCACTTTAATGATTTGTTGCGGTTCTAATGTTTATCAAGCTCAATTATTCACTTTTTAGTCAAACATGCATTTCACAAAAATAAAAAAAAAATTTTTTTTAAAGAAAATTATTCATAAATTTTACTTAATAGTAACCTAAGGTTTTTAAAATTCAAATCTTTTTATTTTTTTTAGTTTTAAGGAATAACTTATTCTACAGGTTAAGTGTAACTCAAAAGTAAAAAAAAAAACATTTGGGGTTAATTTTATAAAAAAAAACTACTACATGAAACCAATTTGAATTTGATTAACATTTTTGTGCATAGATGTGATGTAGCCTAATACAAAAGTTTATTTTTCTTCAAAATATAATTGATGAATGATGAAACTGTGTTATTTACCATTACAACTAGTTATCATGGGGGTGGGTCAGTATTAGCACATGGCTGTAGAAATCACAATTTTTTAAATTATTTTTAAAGCAACTTTAAAAAACTTATTTATTTATGAGACAAGCAACGCTTAACTTGATAACCTACCCTCAATATAACACCAAACCTGGTAAGTTTGATGAACCCTAATTGTTTCAAAAGTAGTTGAAATTTGGTAGTTCTGAGTCAATTGTTATGCGGATTTACAGCCTAATGACTAAACTTACCCCCGTGCTGACCAGTGACAGCATGATTCTCTCGTTGAGTGCAAGTGTTTCTCCTTGCTTCATCTTGATTCTCTTTTTGTCTAGACACTTCATTGCGTACATTTTCCCCGTGTCCGCCTTACGACAGCCGTACACCTCACCAAACCCACCGCGTCCAATGATTCTATGTACGCTGAAGTCGTTCATTGTTAACTGTAACATAGGCGTAGATGATTATAAATCAGAGTATTTCAGTGAAAATACAATGCGTATGCAAAGACATTTTTATGAACGATGTTGTTAATTGTTGACTATAAAACAAGGAATGACGATTAGAAATCAGTGCCCTTAGCAGAAACACTTTGCACAAGTTGAAAATATCAAAGCAATGATTACTTAAGTACATTTGGAAGTCCTTACTTGAGCCAAATTGTTAAAGAAAAAAATATGAAACAAAAGAAAACCCATTTCTTAGAAGTTTCGTGGTAAAAAAAGCAGTAACTTGCACTTGTTGCTTTTGAAAAAACTTAATTGAAAAGTAATTAGAAACCATTTATATAACGGTTTTACACAATCGCTGATTTTCCTACTCATCCTCCAACAGTGAAACTTTATTTACTTTTTTATAGAATTACTTTTAAGATACATAGCTAATTCAAATTTTGCTAAATATTTTAAATCATCGTAAATAAATACTGTACATACCTGAATGTTTAACTCTAGATTTTTCCATTGGCAAAACCTCGTGTATTTTTCACTGAAACAACAAAAACATTTTTATTTTTGGAAAATAGCTTCTTATGTAGCGAATAATTTTACTACAAGAGATGTAGTATTAACATAATAGTCTTCATGAAGCATATTATTTTATGTTTCAAATGTCCACAAAGGCTTAACACTTTAATGAAAACAGGAATCTCTTTATTAATTGAACCAAAATAAAACTCCTTGAATGTCTATATAAATGTAGATAAGATAAAGTAAGTGAATTAAAAAGAGTTATTCCTGGATGCAAACTTTTACTCACCTTTCTAAGAATTTTTTGAATGGTGTACCTCGCAAATGGTTAAATATTTCTTGGATATAAGGCTGTAACAAAATGGTATTAAAATAGTACGCTACTAATAAATAGAGAAACATGTTAAGGATCTGCTCAGAGTAATATACTGGATAATAATCTTAAGCTATTATGGCTATGATGACTCAATAAGTAATTTTTTGGACTCTAAATAAATACATTGATAAGGTAAATTATAAAATTTATAAAATATGCTGCAGATAGACAAAAGTTAATTGTTCTGTATTTAATAAATTACAATTGTGCAATTTAATAAATTGCACAACTTATAAACCAAATTTACAGTTGGCAGCAATGTCGTAATAATATTTGTGGTGATTTTCTGATTCAACATTAAATAGTGATGGGTATAGACAGAATTTTGAGCTAGTCCAGCAGAACTTTATGCAATTTGAACTCATTGTGGAAATGGTGTTTTTTGAACAATGAGGTAGAAAGTTTGGGAACCTGAACATAGATTGTTGCTCATTATGGGCAGTGCTCGATTTGCGGGGGAACGCGGAAAGATCTTCTTCATTTTCTGTTTCTATTTCTCTTTCAAAAAGATAAAATATTGGCATAAATTGGTACAAACCACATTAAATAGGTCACAGTTCCTCACTTCACAACGTTTTTACAAATCGAGCACTGGATATGGGTTGTATTTTAAATATTTAAAGATAGATGATTTTTATCTAAAAAAATGTTTTAAGAATATATGCTAGCAGGAAGATATGGTCAGATTAGAAAAAATATGTTTTTGAAGTGGACAAGATTTTTTTATTGGTTTAAGTTGGTAAAAAGTATGAATATTTCTTTAAAATATATTATCGTATAACCAATTAAGATGAGGACCTAGGTGCCTCTTTCAACTTAAATATAAGCAAGAATGAGTGTAGAATGAGATTAGATGTCTTGTGTAGCTATGGTACGGCCTACAATCAGCTGTTTAACTAGCCAAGAAGATTTAAAAGCCCAATGATCAAGGACAGCTGGGTCTAGATTCAAACAATCTAAAAGTTTTGAACTTTTCTTAAGATCGAATCAGCGGTCTTTTGATTACAAGGCAAGCACTATAACCACTCAGCTACCCTAACCCAGCGTATGATAATATTAATATATTTTTTAAGAATGAAAAGTGGCATGTTTTGAAAAAAAAAACTTAAGTGTAAACTAAATGCAATTTTTTGGTGAAGCTAAATGATAATATTAATATATTTTTTAAGAATGAAAAGTGGCATGTTTTGAAAAAAAAATACTTAAGTGTAAACTAAATGCAATTTTTTGGTGAAGCTAAAACCATTCTAGGCTACCTTTCCAGTTATAAATTTGTAAACCTACAACATATTTTGACTAATATTACTACTTTTACTATGCTTGCAATAAAAATATTATTTGCACTTACTTAAGTATGAAACAAACTGTTATTTGACGCAATAAGCACAATTATAATTTGAAACTTTTTACAAAAGGCGCCATCTGAATCTTTGCAAAAATTATCACTTGATACTAAAGTAAAAGTGATTTTAATCTTTTACGTTGAAATTATGAGTTGAACCATTTTCTCATAATATTATAAATAGATACAATAGAGACATCAATACTTTACTAATTAAATTCACCATGAAAAGCTAGCAGCGCCATTGCAATTTAACAGACATTGGGTGAGTTCAAAACACAAATGACAAAACAACAATTAAACCTCCCATTAATGACATCCCGTAAACAATTGCCAACAAATGAACGATACTGAAACAGACACTGACCCTCCACAGTGGACTTGGCAAACAATACATTGTTACTCTTCCTTTCACAAATCATTCTTTGAGATTAAAACACAATTACAATATTAACCTATAAAAAAGTGTAAATGCTACAAAAGTAAATGTATTCCAGATATATAAATTATTTATTGGTAAGGTCACACATACTCTATGCTATAATATTATGATGAAAACATTGGTTATCAAACACACTTTTACCAAAAGTTTGTATAGCATATAGTAAAATTTATAAAAACTACAGTAATTGTACTAGCCTATGTGTATTGAATTTATAATGTCTGTTTGGTAAAAATATTCAAATCCAAAATGTAGAGCAAAAGTATTTAAAAATGCAATTTTATGAATTTTAAATATTAATAGATAATAATTATAATGGAGATTTTAATTTGTTAGCACACAACTACCCTCATAAGCATTTTCCGGTGACTGAGCATCGTCAATTGAATTTGGTTTACAAATTGTTAAAGTTGATAATAATCATTATTAATAGGCCTACAACTTAAAAAAAAGAAAAAAAAATGTTTTCTCTTGCATTATAGGAATGTAAAAAACACATTCAACGTAAAATGTTACCATAAAAAACTTATTTAAGTTCTAAAAAATACAAAAGGTTTATTAAGAAAAGGAATGAAAAGTAAGATGTACTGGCACATGAATATAGATTAGTTCCTAAAGAAATTGATGGTAAAGACAACCCTTTTCACTTTTTTTAATAATAAGGAATTATATTAGGTACATGATGAGATTTTGTTTATTTCTCAGTTCTTGTTTTACTGTAAAAATTAAAATTAATTAATTTGAAAAATCCATTACGAATATTATTCTAGATTAATTTTTACAAATGAATGTACAAGGTCTATGTTATGCAACCTAAGAGAAATAGTTCCTCATTCCATAATTCTAAGAAAATACTATGCAATCACTGTAGTCGTAAAGTACAGCAAACAAATTAAGTTAGTGCTTGGTGGGCTTCTGACTACTTTTAAAAATAGCTGAAAGTTGCATAACAAGTTAAGCATCACAGGTAATTTGTTAAGGAACTAGATCATAACATAACCAACAACAATTTTACAGAGTACACTCCCTATCCAACAGAGTTATGCAAACGTGGAATTGAGGACAGAAGATGATTTTTCTTATTAATTACTTTATTAAGAAAACCAAATTTATCAACTTATATCAAACACTGACTATTAAATGTCATATGAATATGAACACATTTGAATGTGTTATATTTATGAGCTATATAAAATAGCTATATTGAAAACTATATAATATATTTTCTTCTGGTGGTTTTACTTTTTTTTAAATCATTTCTACAACACTTAAGCTTTTGGTTAATTTTGGATGTAAATATACTTTGATAAATTGTTACTGCCCTAAAAATATGCATATTATATCAAAATAAAATTCAAAACATTACTTAACACATTTTTTATTTATTACGTTTAATTGTGTTTATTATATTGTATTATATGCATATCGTCCGATCGTTTTATTAGCTTATAAAAGTCCTCTTGCTGAAAATATGGAGAGAAAATTGTAATAAAAAAAGCTCAAATTGTCATTTAACAAAATAAGACAAATTGAATCCAATACATCCGCATCACATTGAAATCAATGTAAATACAAATTTTTTTTTATTTAAAGTTTACGATTCAACACTGATAACTGATTTGCAGACAAGTTGATAACAGTGGCTCTCGTCTGTTGGTCTGCAGGTCTGCCAACCGACAATGTTAATTGCCTGAGTGTTTAGAGTCGCACTAATCTAATTTAATAAGGCCTTCCTTTCTCTGAGGGACGTTATATTGACTATCTGACCATGGACCATCTGCCTTTATCTATTTTGTTTACGAACGTTACCTGCAATTACTAATTTTTTTAATTAGTTAGACATTTATTTTTAATGAAAAATTAAATACAGTACTCCATTCATGTTTTTATAGGGGTAGATTTATAACTTGTTCGTAAGGGAATGGTACAAACCCTGGTTTTGTTTATCCAAATTGACTTTTTGTAAGATAGCATCATTAATAGATTGCCCAATGAGAAATGGCATCTAGGTTCTGAAACCATCTCGCTTGGAATCAAACCTGCAAGAGCGCTAACCACTTCGCTAACCACCATATTTGATGGCTTTATTATTTCTATAACCACTTGGCAATCTAGAAAATTATCTACAGTAAAAATCGATAGATTTTAAATAGTACTTACAGCTACTTAAGAATAAATTTTAGACTTAAAAATGGTATTGCTAAAAAGTTTATCGAGTTACTTTTTAATATGATTTCTACTTAAAAATTTAAAAAAAAGTAGTATTGTACAGCCTAAATATATTTCTAAGCCCTGTAAAGACAGCTGACTTTAATGGTGCACATAAAATATCGAGGAAATGTTCATAAAGTCTTCAACAGAAGCAGTCGGAGGTTTGACAAATGTCAATGAAGTGTGTTATTTGATTATGCCTCATGTATTACACTGTCAAAGGCCGCTGGTTTGCGTTCAATCGCCGTTGACAAACTTCCTGCTACAACACTGACACTTACTGTATCAGTAAAAAGTACTTGTTTGTATTATTATTAACTAAAATTGTGTTTTACTAAAATAATCTTGTACTAAAATTTTATAGTTACAGTAAAGTAATGCAATTATTAAATTTTCCATAGCTAAATTATGTGGGAATAACATCTGATTTCAAGGATTACGTTTTATATCACAAGATAGCAATAGCCTGTCTTAATGTAAATTATTTTGTTTGTAAGACTATGTAAGATTAAATACAGTTATAACACATCCAACATGTTCATTAATTAAGTGTTGCAAGCTATCAAGTCTTAAAATCAATGCAAATAGCAGAAGATTGAACATATTGGCTTAATTTCTTTCTTTTAATTTTTGTATAAAATTGCTGATATAATTAATTAATTTTTTAGCCTATTACTATCGAAAAAAAACACACTTCTAAACTATTTAGGATGGTCTCCTTAATATTTTAAGCATTGCAACATTTACTTTTCCAAAACAATTAATTATAAATTTATTAAAACATCACGGAAGTTCTCCCTTATATGAAAATCAGCACTCCATCACCAGTTGGTACGCAACATGAAATATGAACACAGTTGAAGCTAGCGATGCTAATGAGTAAGTGACAACCACATGTCTCGGTTGTGCGGCAACCACGATACGATGACAGACGCACATCACTTATCACAACCACGGTTGACGGTTATTGATCTTGTTGGGTCACGTCACGTCTACCTTCTCACAGCTACAAGTGATTCATCGTACTACGACACTGTATGTTTGACAAATCACTTAACAAACGTAAAATCATTTTTGGTTAATCGTAATGACAGTCGGACAGTGTGAACAAATGGTCCGTCAAAGGCTTTTAAATGGTGAACATTTTGAATACTTTATTCCCGAGCAAGTTATTGTTATTGGTATATTTAATTTATTTAGTAATCTTCCTTTCGTCATATTTGTCTTAAAATAAACACCTTTGTGTTGATGTGGTATAAATTCAAACTTTGATTATGGTTGTTAATAGAATATGTTTTAATATTATAGGAATAAGGATTTTCAATATAAAAAAAAATAATAGTATATACAAAAATTTATCTTGAAGATCATCAAAATAAGCAGTTAGTAGATAAATACAAAAATAATTGATACAAGCCAAGGTTATTGATATGTTACAAGGGTACTTTGGAAGCCAACAGGGAATTGACCTGAGAGTGTGGATTTTCGTAGACAATTTAAGTCACACCTGTGGCAAAAAAAATAATGGATGTGTAATTGTTTTAAAAGTTAAAATAGGGTCTACAAAAATCAATACTAAAACCAGCAGGGCGATGCTTTAAGGGTGGATTCCGTAGTAGCCGGATAAGACACTTTCATGGAGTTCCGCAAATTTCTACTTTTGATATAAAATGTGTTTGGATGGTTATGGTAAAGAGGGTAAAGAAACCATTAACAATAATCAAAATGATAATTTTAATGATAAAATTATTTAAAATATATTATAAAAATAAAGCTGTATGAAATACTAGGAGATTGTATTAAACAACTTTATCATTATACATGTTGCTAATGTTCTACACATAGAATAAAACGTCATCCAAAACTACTCAATCAATGTATTTACACTTACCATGTAATGTTTAACAATATAAAAGTAATTAAATTGAGTATGTTGAAGACCTATTTCATTTTATTCAATTAGTATAAACCTGTTCTATTTTCATTGTTGAATTATTATAATAGAACTTTTGACAAATTTTGTATGACAAAACAAATGTTTGACAAGGGAATCTCGAGTGAGGACGTCAACGATGGCACCCTTCATGTATCACTGATGACTTTATTGATCCCGATGACATATCGCCCCTTCTTTCCCAACTTCTCTTGTTCTACTTCTTTGGTTTATTACGTCTATTATTTGTTCAATTTCCAGACATTATTTGACCGATTCAAATAAAATGTACGAAAAGTATCCTATTTTATTGTCCAAACAAAAACATAGATGTGCTTAACAGTTAAAGACTTCCATTTAAGAGTAAAAATAAACATTAACTGTTAGGTGGGAATAAATGTATAAAAAAGTGTATAGGAGTCTAAAAAGTCAACTATAGTGTAATAGAACCCAAGAGGGGTTTTCAAGAGGAAATAAGCTCTTCCGTTCTTTGTGAGATCCTTAAATTGACCAGAAAACTTTTAGCTTTACATTTGGAGTGATTCATCAAAGCGATTGAGTAAAAATGTAGACACCAACTGTTATTTTAAAATAGAAATATTATAATGTCATAATCTTTTAACTAAGTCAAATCTACAAATTTTACTAATATTATAAATGTGAAAGTTTGTGTGTTTGTTTGTTTGTTTGAAGTTCAATCACGCATTAATTACTAGATGGATTAGGCTGAAATTTGGCATGATGATAGCTCACATCCTGGATTAACATAGGCATATTCTTATCTCAAAAATCCTTTCGGGCTCCGCCCCAGTGGCTCTGTAATTCCCCATGTTAACTTTATGAGTACTCATATTTAAATGGAATTAAAGAATTTAGTCAGCTGTTTCATCTAAAAAGGTTGGTTCTATGATATGCAAAAGCATTAAAAGTTATAAGATTTACCAACAGGGTGCAGCACTATTATTTTTTTTCATTTACAAAAACAGCTAATTTGAACTAAGTAGCAACAAATTTGTGATATGGTACACAATGAGAACTGTCTGTTTACAGTTATATTATTTATGTTTTTAATTTCACAGATAATTTGTGAATCTTTAATAATTTATTTTTTTCCATTGCTTGGGTGAATTAGTAGAACATTATGGCTATGGTAGACGTGTAATACGGTATGGTATACCATAAATTTAAAGAAGCAAATTGTATTATACTGTGTCCTCCACCATTGCAAACACAAAGCTTGAGTATAACTTTACTAAGCATTTTACACTTATATGCCAATCCCGTACGAAGGACGGGTACTCTGCTAGTACAATATACATAGTTTTTGTAGAATAAATTTTTGTTTTTATTTATGACAGTGCCAACTATTAAACAACAAATTAAACTAGGTAATACAGTAAAAATAAAATTCTTACCTCAAATAAATTAACTGGAACTTCATTTTTCATTAAATACTTTTGAACATGTGCAACCGCATCTTTAGGATAATCCTGTAAACAACATAATTATGTGCAGTGTATTTAAATATTGAAAATATAAATATATATTTATTTAATACACATAGTTCTTCCTGGAAAATAACTAAGGCTAATTGATATTTCTGACAGAGCTATATTTATGTTTCAGCATTTCATAAAGAACTAGAAAACTTTAAAATTTATTACAAGAATATTTTAATTTTTCTTTCTGATTTTTTCATATATGAAGACTCTTAAAACTAATCGGATTTAAAACAAGAAAAATAACAAATATTAAAAATTTTGTTACTGAACAAATGGGCAACATTGTTACCTAAATAAAGTGAAAAATATCTGTGGTCAAGTGATATAGTTTAACCTCTTCAAATTAAGAAATATTTTGCAGGAACATCGTCCAAATTCCAATTCACATCAGATCTTTTAAACTTAGAGCTGCTTCAGACAGGTTATGGACTTGATCTCACATATCTGGTAAGAGACAATTCCTATATATGAATCATATGCTAATGACTGATACAAGACCTATCAAATCTTAAATTTTAAGGAGTTTCACCTAACTTATTGCAAAACTTATTTACCAAAACACTCTCCTTACGGAGGAACTGTAAGCTACCATGTTACCTATAGTTTTTGTTCATAAAACTAAGGAATTCTGTTTTCACTTTTATCCCTTGATAATATTCAGGGCATAGATCTCAGAAGATATTTGACTTCACACTGAGAGCTAGGGATGAGTACATCTTACTGTACATCACTCTGTTTTCTTTTAGTACGGAAAATTGAATGTAAAACAATGAGATCTTGTTGAACATTTATCTGACCAAAGTTGAAAGTGAAACACTTACATGTGCATGTGCGAGAAGTTCTTTCATTATAAAATTATCGTAGATTTCCCGAGCTAGCTTCCTTCTTTCATCTGGACACTCGAGCTTTTCGTATTGCTTGATCTGAAACAATTGAAAATTGATTTAGTAATTCAAGAACTACTGATTATTGAGTTACGCTGTGGGGATAAACATGGACACAGAAAAAAACAGAGCAACTGTTGTAGTAGGATAAAGATAAGTTCAACAACCAGTGGTCCACCTAGTACATTTTATTTTGAGAAATGGGGGAGCAAAGTTAAGATTTGTGTGCGTAATGTTAAGTACAGTTAACACTTTGTCACCCTCACAGAGCAAACCCATCCTGAGGTGATCCCCTTCAACAGTTTGCTTCTGTATTTTAAAATACTCTCAAAAAGAACCATGATGCATTATTGTGAGACGAAACCTTGCTTTACTTACAAAACCCATCTTGACTTATCCAAGCATAAAGTTATTTTAGCTAGTTAGGCTTTAACACAATTTAATAACTTAAATACAGCCTGGCTGATTTGACTGAAATATTTGCAAATACTTTATACACTAAGTTAATAAACGGTATCAGCAATTTGACAAATACTTTTTCCCATTAGCTTGTCAACAACCTTTATCATAGGTAAGCGCAGCGGGAGTAACAATGCTATTTTCTAGGGAACATCACAAAAGTTTCCCACAAAAGGAACAACACACACACAGACATCACTTTGAATTTTCTAAAACCTCTTTTTTAGGTCCAGGGGGACCCAAAACGGATATATCCACTCAAAACTCAAACTCGACAAAAAAATACTTTCTCCAAATACATTCTTTCTCCGTATAGGGGGAGAAAGTAATAAACAATATTTAAGCCTATAAACAATTTATATACATTTTGAATGTCAATAATTTTTGTCCTGTAGATTGGCTTTATGGAAGTTATATTTTAGGTACAGTAGTAGTTATGAATCATGTAAGCTTATGCAAGACAATTGCTTTTACTTCAACTAATCTGACTATGTCCATTACAATTTACAATATACAGGGTTAGTAAACAGTGTGGAGACCCCCTGTTATTTTTTTAACGGCCCATACTAGAAAAACTAAACTCGGCACACCATTATGGCATGTTATGAAGTACTTTTTGGGCATAACCGCCACTTGGTGTTCATCCCCAAAATGGGGGATTTTGGGGGAAACTAAAAAATTTCAAATACAAAGACCCATTGAGTGACCCCTAATTTTGAAGGTCCTGGTAAAAGAAAACCAACAACGCAAACTAGAGGTCTCTATCTCAGTTCAGTAAGAAATGCCAGCCAATTGAAATTCTCATAAGTTCCCAAACCCAAAATTGGGGATTTTGGGGAAAACTCAGAAATTTTAAATTATAAGCCCCATCGAGTGACCCCTTATTTTGAAGGTCATAATAAAAGAAAAGTAACAACGCAAACTATAGGTCTCTATCTTAACACAGTAAAATATGGCAGCTAATTGAATATAAAATTGCAAGTTATTTCCAATTTCTAAAGATTTCAATCAGCTTCCATGTTTTACTGGATTGAGATAGAAACCTCTAGTTTGCGTTGTTAGTTTTCGTTTACCAGGACCTTCAAAATGAGGGGTCACTCGATGGGGCTTATCATTTAAAACTTTTGAGTTTCACCCAAAATCCCCTATTTTGGGTTTGGTAAGCAAGTGGCTATTAGGCTTAAAAAATACTTCATAACATGCCAAAAAGGTGTGTAAAGTTTAGTTTTCCTAGTGTGAGCCGCTACAAAATTTACAGCAGGTCTCCAGACTTGGAAAGCTAAGTTAAATTGAACTTCTGAGAATTTCAATTGGCTGCCATTTTTTACTGGATTGAGATAAAGACCTCTAATTTGCGTCGTTGGTTTTCTTTTACCAGGACATTCAAAATGAGGGGTCTTTGTATTTGAAATTTTTGAGTTTCCCCCAAAATCCCCCATTTTGGGGATGTACACCAAGTGACGGTTATGCCCAAAAAGTACTTCATAACATGTCATAAAGGTGTGCCGAGTTTAGTTTTTCTAGTATGGGCCGTTAAAAAAATAACAGGGGGTCTCCACACTTTTTACTAACCCTGTATATATGTATTTTAAAGTTGAACAAAATGAAGGAATCGACTATACTAGTCAAGTAAGTATGGGCAAGTATCGATTGTTACTTGCCCATTTTCTAAGACAGACTTAAAAATAAACATTTCTTACTAAAATATGTTAAAATACTTAAATACAAAATAAAAGCTTGAACACAAACTCTCTTTGTTAGATAAATTAATTTAGTTTTGTTTTACTATAGAAAATTGTCCGCTGATTATGTTATGCTGATTAGGTTACTACCTCCCAGTCTAAATCTAAAACACAGCTAATAAGTATGCAAGGTAGCAGACAATTGCTCTTATTCATGCAATTTATCAATTGAATTATCTTGCATTGCATTGCATAGTTTCACTATATTGAAATGCATTTTGTGTTTTGCTATAAATTGAAATCAATTTTTTGTAGCTCCATTAGCTCAATAGGTAACTAGAAAAATGTTTACCATGCTAAATTCAAATACTGTTAAGACATATTATTTATAATAAGAATAAAGAAAATTTTTCCCACTTATGCTACATTTCCAAATTTAATTTACTATCTGATTTTTAGTCAGAGCCACCTGTTAGGCGTGTACAAAAGGTGTGGCCGCACAGGGAGTATATTTTAAAAATATACTTAAAAAAATATTTAAAAGTGTATTTTAAAAAATATCCTTTTTGTTTTTTTCACCCGCTCTTGGTGAAAAAAACAAAAAATTGAAAAAAGATTGTAGATTTTACGTCAGTTATGAAAAAATTACAAAAGGGGGAGTAAAAATACTAATATTTTACATTGAGATTTTTGTTATTATTGTTAGAGATTCAACTTTATTGGTAGTAAGGGCACCACCCAAGGCCAGATCTGTTTTTGGTTCATGTTATCCCACAAATATGTACAATGGTTCTTATTTACTTATGGTTCGTCACAAATAAACAAAACTGTCCATTACAAAACATTCGCTATGTTTCCATTTAAAATAGTAGCCTATTTATAACTTTTTGTTATAAACTAGCTTTACAGAAACTTCAAGTAAAATCAATTCCACAGGTGCAAAATCATTGATGGCTTATACTTTTAAAGTAAAACATAAATTTAGCATCTCAGATTTTGACGGTAACTGTTAGTGAAACTGAATAATTCATATATGATAAAACTGTGCTTGTGATGCGGTGGACTAGCAAAACATTCAGCCTTTTAAGGGTTCTTGCACTCTCTAACTTCATAGATATGCAGAATTTTAAAACTCAGGTTCAAAGGATTGTGGAAAAATAATCCACATTTTCATTATATATTTATTATATAGTAGTATTCATAACATATTATTATTAGGAAAATGTTAGGTTTTCAACACAATTCTCATCTAAGTCTTTAGGATGTAGAAAAATAATGCACTGTTGATTATCGAAATGGTTCTATTAGTTATGTTTTCACAGAATCCTAAACTCAGGTTTTAGGGATTGTAGAAAAATAATTTTAATTGGGTTTTGAAAATAGTTAGGTTTACAGAAAAAAATACTCAAACATATGTTTAACTCAGGTTCATAGTAGTGTGGAACAAATTATACACACTAGGTTAAGTAGTTCTATTGGTCAAACTCGACAGAATATTTAAGTTAGGTTAACAGGATTGCGGGAAATCAGTTCAGGCCTGGAAGTTGTTCTATTGGTTGAGTTAAACAGCGAAACACAACATAGTTTCAAACACAGGTTTACGGCATTGTGGGAAAACAATACGTGGATGTGAACAACTAAAAGTGATTAATTGGGTACTAAGCAATCAAACTCAACCCATTAGAGGATACAGTAAGTGGGGCCCAAACTAAAATTATTTATTGATAAAAAAATATTTTATTAAGTCTTTTGTTTGCTTAATTCTAAAAATACTAAAAACTGTGATTTTGTTAACACATAACAGTAAACAAATTCAAAGAGACTAGCTTAGTATAAAACAAAATTGAATTAATTACACATCTTGTTTGGATATTACTAGTTTTTAATAACATTTTCCTAATTCAAACTATAAACCTGATGATAATATCTGTAATTTTTCAAAATATTAATTCCTATGTTTTAAAATTAAAACAAGACCCAGTAAATAAAGAGCTGCATCATCTCACCCTGTTTCCCTTTCTTTGGAGAGTTAAGTCTGAATATTTGGTAGACAAAATATGTTTATCCCATATATCCCATAAATAGTATTACTATGGTATGTAGTATTTCAAAACTAATATAGTTTTCTTGGGTAAAAATGAATGTACAAGAGGCTATCACTATACATAATATTAATGCGGTATAGTTTTCAAAGAAATTATTAATATAGTGTTCTTGTGTAAAAATGAATGTACAAGAGGCTACTTAGAAGCATGATTTCTTAATAGAATTTGGTATGTGCTGTACATAATATTTTTCTTTAATACTTTGGTGAGTTTAACTTATGTTGATGACGTTGACTGGTCCATGTTTTGTTTTAGTATAATAGTAATTTTTATTTACCAGGCCCAATTTGTTGGGAAATAAAAGACAGATAAAGTACCACATGAAATATAATGTCAGTAGGTGTAGGAAGTGTAAGATAAAAAAAAAAATTGTAAAGGATAGGGGGGATTAAACAAGAGAAAAATTTGTAAAAGAGGGAACGAGGAGAAAGTAAAATAGAATTAAGGACATTAAATGCAGACATATATGTAGTGATGAAGATAGAAAAAATAATAGATGAAAAGGATCCATATAATGGAAATGTGAAAAAGAAAAATTGTTGTGAAAATGGCTAAGAAAGTTTATAGGAGAAAAAGAATATAAAAAGGAACCAATGAATATTAGCGAAAGGGGGGAGAGAGAACAAGGGAATATAGGAAAGGAGAGGAAGGGAGTGAAATAGGGGAGAGGGTTAAACAAGCAATCACAATCTGGTAAACTTAATTCTTGTTTCTAACTTGGCTCCCATCACAGCTGATTTGTGGTTCCGACAAAAACAATGGCAAAAGGTAAGTTGCTGCTGCTTAAGATCTG